GAGGTGCTTCTAAAAGGTGGGACGCGGATCACCAGAATTGTGACACGTATCACAAAGCTGAAGAAACAACATAGTTGGAGCGTGTGGCGCGCATGTTCAAAAATTTGTTATAAATAGAGAATCACCCCTCATTTACCCCCCACGCCATGCAAAACAATTCTCTCTGAAAACTTCTTCCTTGAGTCTGAAATCTCTTTAGTAATTACTCGTTTTAGTAGAATTCTGATTCGTCAGAGATTTCAACAAATAGAAGTGTTTGGGTTAGAGTTCTGCTAGTCTAATTTCCGAACTTCTGCCAGTCTGGTTACTTTCATCTTACATATATATTTAGACAATAGAATGTTATATGTGTTTATGTGTATAGATGTTCCATGTTAGATGAAATGTTATATAAATAAATTTATATGATTTATATTGTATATGTATTTTTATGAATATAATACATTAGGTAATGAAGAGTAATAAAAGGTAAAAATGATAAGATTTCATAGTACGATGAATGATGAAAATGATGATAGAATGCCACGACTTGAACTGGTACTATTGTACTAACGTTGTAGGAACTGATACTATTATATTAACGATGTAGGAACTAGTGCTACTGTACTAACGATGTAGTCGTCTAATAGAATATAGATGACAACCACAATAATTACAAACGATGTCCCTTAAGATAGGTCTCTATAGATGAATAAAAAAGATAATGGAAATGGGTAATTGGGTTAATTGTTTAATAAGAAATAGATAATTAAAAAAATAAACTATATTATTGTGGGTTGAAAACCTATGTACTCACAAGGTATCCCAACCTGACCCACTCATTTTCTTTGTATTTCTTTATATCACAGGATGTACTACAAGGATAACGATGTTCGACCCTAATGAGAGATTCGAGGAAATGTAGGCCATAATATAAAAGTTATTGTAAGGTTTGTAATGACTACGGTTATGCTTATGATTCTTGTATCAGTTATAGCACCCCAAATTTTAATAAATCAATAAAAAAAAAACTTTTTTTCGTGAATACTTTTATGGGACCAATTCCACAAAATAGAGAATACATTGTTTTAAAATAAGCATAAATAAAAAATTATTTTCTGGAAGTGAAAATGAGGATGTCACAATTCGCAACTAAGTTTGGTACTTGCCTATTGTTGGGTTATTAAAGGTGTTCATACTATTTTAGAGTTCATAATTTTGTGGTGTTGTCGCTCTTCCGATAATGCTACTTCAGAAAACCACGATCTTCTAGTCACCTAATTTCCATATTTTCACCTTGAGGACAAGGCATTTTACTGGGAGGGAAGTAATGGTACATCCCCGCTACACGTCTACTCACAAAGGAAGAACCGAGTCAAAGTATTAGCTGAAAAGAACCAATTTAATTCACTTTTAGAATATTTATATTTGACTCATTCCCTGGAGGGAAAACAGAAGTAGTGAACTTGCAAGTTTTGAGCTACTTTTTAGGATCAACTATTTAACTGTATTTAGCTATCTAGTTCTGCATGCCTTGTAGTTTGTTTTTCATTCATTCTGTTTTTATAATTCTCAAATTTAGTTTTGTAATCGGATACTCAACGCCTCGCGAATCGGGCCTTATCTTTTTCAATTCAAGTCTTAATTGCCTGCTAATTCTTTAGATTCTATCACATGGCAGAAAATTTTGGTATGCCATTTTCTTTTACATTTTGCTAATTCTTTTTGAAACATTAGTTTTTTTACTTTTTGGAGATGAGGTATGATATAGACTCCATTTGTTGAGGATGGGTGATGATGTCACAACTAAATGCAGAAACTCTTAGTCCTGGTGTAACACCCGTTTCCAAAAAGGATCAGTTGAAGAATTAAAGAGGTCAAAGATAAGGTTTTGGAGGAAATCTTATGTCACGACATGGTGTGTTGATAACCACTACGTGGCATAACATTTAAATGAAAAACATGTCCCGATGAACACCACAACATGGCAAGAGGGAGGTCATGACGTAATGGCTGCTTCAGCCGAAGCCCATGATTTTTAGGGTTTTTCCTATATTTAATGAACTTAACTCTTGGTTTAGGTCATTTCCTTCAACCTTCATCTCCCCATTTCGAGACCTTAGCCTCCCTTCCATGTTTGTGAGCTTAATGGCTTGGTTTTGAGTTTATCTATTTGATTTTGTGAATCTTGTGGAGGAATCAACTTCTTGGTGCAAGGAAGCAAAGAACAAGCCTAGATCCATCATCTTCAAGTTTTTGAGTCATTTGAGGTATAAAGCTTGCACCTTCACCTTGTTCTTTTGAGATCCATGTTTATGCTCATTTTGGTTTGTTTTGGTCTCATTCATGGATGCTCTTGGAGTTTAAGGAACTCTAGAGCTTATTATGACACTCTTGTGGCCATGAACTTCTGATTAAGTGAGAAAAAGGTCATTGCTTGGGTGCTCTTGATCCCATACACAAGATTTAGACTTGAAATAGCTTATTTGGAATTAGGGTTTAAGATCTTGCTTTGTGGTGAGGTTTTAAAAGATAAAGTTGGAAAATTTATCCGTTAAGTTAACGAGAACAGCCATATCTAAAGTTTTGAGCTTTTGATCTGTAAGGATTAAGCTGTTAAGGAGAAAATAGCTTCCTGGCAACAACCACAACATTTCCAAGGAGGGCCCACAATGTGGTTGTATCATGTTTATCGACATCCTACGACATGGCCAAGAGGTCTCTACATCGTGTGGTCGTTGACTTGGTTGACCGTTGACCGTTGACCGTTTTTTGACCAGTCTGAGCTTGGGTCAAATTTGAAGGATTTGAGTTATTGATTGAGGTTTATCCTTTGTTGGTGTTAGTTGATTTGCAATATTGATCAATACAATGAGGTATTGTTAGAGTATGTGCATCCTAGTTGACTAGTATAACTCCTTGCTATGTATGTATAGAGTAGGAGAATTGGTGTCATGGTATGCTAGACTTGTAGGAGCTTGCATGTGGACTGTATGATATTGTTAGGCTAGAGGGAGTGGTGCCACAAGAACCGCACTCCCTATTCTGACATGTAGGAACCACATAGGTGTCACATCATTTATACCACAAAAAGTGTGGTTCCTTACCACACCTAGGGTGTGGGAACTATGGTAGAGAAAGAGAGGTGAGAGAGAAAGAGGAGAAGATAGAGAAAGACACATAAATGAAAAGAGAGAGAGAGAGAGAGAGAGAGAGAGAGAGAGAAGGGAGTGCGGAATATTTTGGGAAAGGTGCGGCCAAACGACACCCAAGATCGCATATAGGGGGCGGTGTTCCCCTGCCAATGTGGCACTGAGAGCAGCCAAACCGCGGTCCACTCCCTTGAGCCTTAGATGTCATGAGTGGTTAGGTACTTAGGTTAATGTCGGTATTGATTGTTTGTTCAGCGGTTGTATGTGGTCAAGTTTGATAGTCTGAGAACTCTAGGTCCAAAAAACTTATTGCATAGTTCTTGTTTGATTTATTGCTCTCGGGCGGGACCATCGGTTCGACTGTCTATTTGATCCCTAACTACATATGACTATGTATTCTCTGGAAGACTAGGATTTGGTCCCTAACAATTACACAGAAGACTAGGATTTGGCCCCTAGAAATTGAGTTTGGGTTGGGCCCGTTGTACTCCTTGGATGGGGCCCATTATGTATGTTTGGGTGGGGTCCATTATAAAAGTTTCAATTGGGCCCGTTATACTCCTTAAGTGGGACCTGTTATGTATGTCTTATATATGTCTGGGCAAGCCTGTTATGTGAGTGAGGGTTGCACCCATTATGTATGATATATGTATGTGGACAGGAGATGAGTGAGGGTTGCACCCGTTATGTATGATATATGTATGTGAATAGGAGATGTGGTTGTTCAGCGCTAGAGTCAGTATTTTGCTTGTATGCATTGTATATATAGTGGAATATGTGGTATACTAGGAAACTCACTAAGCTTTATGTTTACAGTTATAGATAAAATATTTTGCAAGTTGTTTGTGAGAAGTGATCGGCGGGATTATACATACACATCCAAGATTTTGGTTTCCGATGTTTTGTAAATTCATCTCTTATAACACTATGGTTTCAAACAAAGGAATGTCAGTTATTGATTTTATGTAAAAAGATTTTCATTGATTAATCTATTTTAAAATGAAAAATCTATTTGTAATTTTTAGGACGTTCCACCCAGCTTTGCATAGATACCAACAATTTCACTTATAACTATACTGATTTGGATTTCATTCATGTTGTTTGTCCTTGTTTTCATTGATATCGATCAATATATAGAAGTAATTTTATTTAAAAAAAATTCAATCGGTTCCAATACTTTTCTATATACTTTTTTGGTACTTTTCTAGAAAGCTGCTTTTATTTGAATGAATATAATGTTTAAAAAAAATGGCGTTGGCTTCATAACAAGCTTCACTTATCAAGGTCAACACAAAACTAAAAAAGAGAGTCTTCATAGTTTTCTTTTACTTTATAAAAACCATTTTTTTCATCTTCTTTCATTAAATTATAACTTACGATTTAACACATCGTTACACTGGATCCCAAAAAGTTTTAGTAACACTTACATTGGATCCCAAAAAGTTTTAGAGCATTTAAAACATTTTTAAATAACATTGGGGTGAATATTAACGAGTTTTTCTATTTATTTTAGATGAGAGATGAAGTAGTTTTCAAGATATGAAGTGGTTGTTTCTATGGCTAAAACACTCAAATGCAAGAAATCACTAAAATGTATAGACCAAAAATGGATTTGTTGAATGATATTTGTATTACTTAAAATAACTACTTATTCCTCATTTTAGTCAAGTCCTATTAAAATATCATTTTCTATTTAATTTTTTTTAATCAACCCATGTAATACTCGAGTAAGTAACCTAAGTGTGTGTGTATATATATATATATATATATATATATATATATATATATATATATATATATATATATATATATATATATATAGAGAGAGAGAGAGAGAGAGAGAGCTGAAAAAGCTATATAGTGGTTTACCTGAACAAGCATGTGCATGAGGAATATAAGGTCCATCATGCTTCTAAAAACCACAATGGGTGTTGTCATTCGTGAATCAATCCCTATGCACTTAAAGCCCTGCTTCCAAAAAAAGTAAGCATGTAAAGCAAGATAATAATATACTAGATTAGTCAGAGATTAAACAATTAAAAAAAAGTGTATATATTATGCCAATTCACAACCACGGTTACAAGAACATTTAACTCACCATCATAGTTTGGAAATAACACGAATAAAATGTCAAAATTTAGATGAGATGCCAGCGGTTTTCATATATACTTATCAGTGTTTAAATGCGTGCTTAAGGGTTGTACCTTATTCACTGACAACAAGTAACAGAATAAGGGGTCTATGACAGTGGCGAATGAGCAAGAAGTGATAACTAATTGAGTCCACCCTCTAACAACTTTGGCATGTGGATTGATGACCCCAAACATAAAATGTTTTAGTAACGATAACTTTTCTTGTTTCCATGCCTTTACACCTCGACGTTGAACATCATCATTCTGCAAAAGAACAAAAAAAATACAACTGCATGAACAAAAGTAAGCAATTCATTATGACAAGAGTGCATGGAGTAATTTAAAAATACAACAATCTTACGTCCATGAGTCTAAATATGCCATATAAACTAATGATATAGGCAATTAAGAAAGCACCACAACAGCAATCATGTAAGTTTAGAACCAATATGTTCTAAAAGGGAAAATTGAAATCAAGTATGTTTAGTATTTTCCAAAGAGAAGAGTAATACATAGTGATCAAACCGCTGTGAAACTCTGAATGTAAGTGGTCTTTCATAATAGCAAGATATCGGGCATGATGTACAATAAGAAGCATTGCACATCCCCAATTGTCCTGACCTCAATAAGTGCTTATTTTTTACTTCATCATTAACTCCCAATTGATGGTTATCATTTCTAATCTCTTTCTCTTCCACAGCTTCCCTCTCTTGTCTCTGTACATCAAGACATTTTTTTTATTTAGTAAGGCAACATGACTTGTTGCGATGGAGTTCAATTCAATGGAACTTACAGGAATGGATATTGAAACACTTCTGGTTGTTTGTGAAAATCTTTGATTTAGATTATTCTCGTGTCTATGGGATGGCCAATCTGTAGCATTTAAAGATCGTACATCATCTTTTCCTTCAACGTCCATCTATAAACCCTCAAGTGCAAAAACCTGTATTAGAGACATGAAAACAAGTCAAACAAATATGCTTGATGAGAGAAAAAGAAAAGAAAGATTTACCTATTGATGTAGAACATAAATAAAGAACAATAAGTAATCAACAAGTCCCAAAGGTGGGAAATTTATTGGGTCCAACCCATAGAAGCTTTCTGTCCATATAAAGTGGGTCTACGGATCAAAAGTTATACACATTTGGAGTTATTTTCCACCCATTTTGCCCTTTTCTCATTTATCCATGAATGTGTCACACCTAGGTCCTCCATATGCTATTTTTTAATGAATAATTAGAATCCTTGTAGTAGATAGTGTTTGGACATCCTTTTCCTGTTTGAAGTTGTTAATAATCAGTTTTGATGGATAGAACCTACTGAATAAGGGTTTATAGTAATTTTAGCTAGTAGCAAACTAATTATTGGAAACTTATTATCTGGTTGTTTGACCCTTAAATGAATCACACAACTTCAGTTTCAGGTTTTGCCTCTTACACTTCCACAACAAATGCTGAGTTGAAAATGAGCTCAGGGGAAGCAAGTTAGGCCTAATTATATAATGCAATAATAGTTTTAATTATGTATAAAATAGTGGTGTATAAGTAACTTTACTCTACCATATATACTGTATGATTATTTACCCTAATTAAATAAGCATATAGCAATAGATAACCACTTGAAGTAGCAATAATCGAATAACCACTTTCAAAAACCATTAACAAACACTTCCTGGTATAAAAATAGCCTTAAAAAGTTAATATCATAACTAAAACCACTCTCAAACAGAAAAAAGCAGTGAATATGCAATAAAGTATTATTAATTTTATGGTAATTGTTTGGGGTAACACATTCAATTGTGCTCAACCACATGTTGAGAAGCAATCAGTCACGATTTTGTACATTTTTTAAGAAAAATTGAAGTTAACTCATGATCAAAGTGAATCATATTCGGTAGAAAAAAGAAAAATAGAAAATCTGAATGAGCCAGCGGAATTTGAGACATACCTTTTTAAGAAGCCTAAATTAATCTCCAAAAAACGAACAATGAAGAAGCATAAGTAGCTATAAGGTTGTTTATTCGAATTATGAATAGCAAAATGAAAAGGGGTGGTAGTTTCGACGCGATTAAGAGAAACCAGCGTGACAAAAAGAAGTCGAATTACCACAACTCAAGAACGTCTTATCAGCGTAAAACCATCGCAGTATATAAACTTATTTTCAATGAAATTTTGCGAGGGATCATTATTTGCTGTAGACGTTCGAGATCTAAATGAAGGAATCTGTCGAATTAAATAGAAAACCTAAAATCTAAGAAAAGAGACCTAATCTTATCTTCTATCTTCATGTGTCACCTTTATAAGCTGTATTAGGCACGTGTGATGTGGTACATCTATTTTTTCCCTCTCAAATTCTAATTTATGTTATACAAAATTACACTACAAGGAAAACGATCATTAGCGGCGATAAAAGTCGTCGGTAATAATTAGTTGTCGCCGGTAATAGTAATAGCGGCGACGCGTCGCCTGTAATAAGTCGTCGCTACTGCTTCGACGCTATTGACCATACTGTTGCCGCTATTAATAGATGTCGCCGCTAATGACCATGTCGCCGGTAATAAGGTGTGTCGCCGGTAATAACAATTTTCATTTTTTTTTTAATTAACGATTTTGGTTGTCGGTAATAATATTGTCGATAATTACATAACAATATTCGATTAAATATCAAAAATAATAGTGTCAACACTAATTATAAATCAAACATCTGATTATAATTAATTAAATATCAAAAGTCATAATATCCGATTAAATATAAAAAGTAATAATGTCGTCTGATAATTACATAACATCCGATTAAATATAAAAAATAATAATGTCGCCAGGTATTAGTGTCGCCGGTAATTATAAAAAACAACCAAAGTTTTACAATCTACCAACTAACAAAGCGTGACAATGTATGCAAATAAAACTCATCCCTACATAACATCATCTTCGTTCTCATCGTTTCCTCAATTATTTTAGGATTGAAAAAACAAATAAAGCTCATCCCTACATGCCGGGTCGTTGAGCATTGCACGAATACTTTCCAACTACATAATTAATAACAACATATATAAACTTATAAGTTAAATTATCAAACATAAACAAAAACTATCAAAATACATTGTTATTTTTAAACTAAGACAAAAAATCAAAGTACGTTGTTATTTTTTGCGCTTGGGACAAAAACGTAATTACCAAAGTTTTTAGCAAATATTCATCACAAAACCAAAATTACCAAATCAACATGCATTTTACGATGCTAAAGTAGATTGGTATTTTCAAACTAAGACAAAAAAACAAAGTACGTTGTTATATTTTGCACTTGGGACAAAAACCTAATTACCAAAGTTTTTAGCAAGAAATCACCACAAAACCAAAATTACCAAATCAACATGCATTTTACGAAGCTAAAGTAGATTGTTATTGTTAAAGTAAGACAAAAAAAACCAAAGTACGTCGTTATTTTTTGCACTTGGGACAAAAACATAATCATCAAAGTTTTTAGCAAATAATCACCACAAAACCAAAATTACCAAATCAAGATGCATTTTACAATGCTAAATTAGATTGCTATTTTTAAACTAAGACAAAAAACCAAAGTACGTTGTTATTTTTTGCACTTGAGACAAAAACGTAATTACCAAAGTTTTTAGCAAACAATCACCACAAAACCAAAGTAGATTGTTTTACCTGTGATGGTTATGATGCTTGTGGTGACGGTTGCGAAGGCTGTGGAATCAGCGGGTTAGCAGAAGGTTTACGGTCAATGCCTCTAATATGGCCACGTCGCTCTCCTAATTCATTCTCAAACGCAGCTCTTTCTTTAGTAGGTGTTAACTGACTTTCACCTTGAGTTTGTTCTAACAGCTCCTCAGCTAACCGATTATGTAACTCCCAAATGTGAGTAACAATTAAGTATAAATTAACATTTAATTATATGATAAAATTATAATTAAATACTTACATATTGTTGTTCCACCTCAGCAATAACAAACATACCATTCTTATCGGTATGAGCTTTGTGAAACGTTTCCACTCTCTTAAGGTTATGTTTAACTTTAAAAATTAGATTATATTTTAAATAAATATTTACATGTATCGTACGTTACCTTTTTATAGCAAGTACTGCTATACGAGCTCGACCCCCCACGATTCATATTTGTTTGCATTTCACAATTTTTTTTGTTCGGTTCTGAAACAATTATGTGTTCGTCTGTTTGGAAATACACTGCTTTCTTCCGGTTATCAACTTCCATACCCTCTGGAGGGTTGGCTAATGCTCCTGGGATATCTTCATACCCTCCAACTAACATAAAATATTCTTTTGCGTCACCTTTACATTCTCGATAACCTTTTAACAAAGCTGCTTGAAAACTCTCTATCAACATATTAGCTTGTACATCCTAGTACATCTGATCCAAATCAAATTTTGTCTACAAAAAAAATTAACCAAGTAAAAAACAATTATAGTTAACCATATAAAATATATTTAAATAAATAATTACCACTAAATGTTGTAATACGGTATCCTATATTGCAGGGGAAACTTTTTTCCAAGTCCATTTATCAAAACCGACATCTGCCACATTGTTTTTCCAACTTCTCGGGAAAACATGTCTTCCGGATATCTTACGGGATCAAATGTGATATCCCTGTCATATTCCATGTCATATTCCATGCTAATCGGTAGGGGGTGGCAATTAATGACACGACACGACAAAATACACGACACGAAATGAAATTGGCACGAAACTAAAATTTGAATTTGTGTTCGTTTCGTGTTCGTGTTCGCTATAAAAAACACAATGTCGTGTCGTATCGTGTTTGTGTTCAAAATTCGACAAAAAATTGCCACGATTTAGTAGTTCTTTATCGTGTTTTTCGTCTTTGTCGTGTTATATGTGATAAAATATTCATTAAATAAACTCATTTTTAGTATATGTTATATTTGTTATGTCGTGTCGTGTTTGTCGTTTTTTAATTCGTTCGTTTTCGTGTTAGTTAAAAAAACACGACATCGTGTCGTGTCGTGTTACAAAAAACATTATCGTGTCGTGTCGTGTAGACAGAAACACGAAACGATAACACGATTTGCCACCCCTACTAATCGGTTTGCCCCGATTCCGTAAGATCGCTTTTTCAAGTTTTATATTTTTCGCTTTGTCTCGTTTCCTTAGTGCACGTTGCTTAACTACAAATGTAATTAAAATTATTAGAAACGGTATTTAATTTATAATAACTGAAAAAAAATAGTAAATAAAAACTATTACAAATGTAATTAAAATTACCGTCCTGCTCATGATGACCAACACTTCTACCACCTGGGAGAGGTGGGTGCTCAGCTCCATCACCTCCGTGTCCACGGCCCATAATAGCAACCATGGTATACATAAACAAAAGCCATATTGTCATCATTTCCTGATAAATTATAATATATACAAATACAATTTTTATTACAAATACACATTATATAGAAATAAACATTTATATAGGAATAAACGTTTCTATTTAAAATAGAAATCCAAATAAAGTTCATATTACAACCACGTATTACATAAGAACTATTCTAATCAGAATCTTCCTCATATCATTCGGTGTCTTCTTCGGTATCATAATCAGAATCGGTCTCATCGTAATCAGTCTCGCAATCAGAAACATCATTGACTCTACCAGTTGGTGGAGGAACTTCAGTTGCACTTTCTACATCAACAATGACTCTAGGAATGTTTTGAAAGTACATGCTGAAATCAATAAGTTCATCTTCCCTTGCTCCACATCCCTACTTCGTTTTTGTCCCTGCAAGCCAGAACAAATGTGAAAACCACATCCTGTATCAAGGACCCAAGAATTAGCATGTGATGAGTTACTAGACAAAATAGTATAAATACATGAAAAGGTGAGCTCGATCTTCCCATTCTTTATGTCCTGCAATTATTTGGGGCAGCTTCGTCTCCAATACCCTTTTTCATGGCAATGGAAGCACTCAACTTCCTTTGGATTGGAAGAGGGGGTGACAGAACCAACTTTGGTCCCACCAGAAGAGGATCCAACATGGGACTTTCCCTTGTGACTCTTGGAAGGAGTCTTCCTCTTCTTTCCCTTTCCATGTCCAATCTCCAAGACAGGGGCAGTAGCAGTAGGAGTAGGAACAACATATTTTCCTTTAAGACTACTTTCAGCAGTCCTCAAAAAGCCTTGAAGTTTTCTTAGAGTGACCTCCTCCTTGTTCATATGATAGGTCATACAAAACTTATCATAAAAAGGAGGCAAAGAGTGTAGAATGATATTTATTGCCAACTCTTCATCAAAGTTGACG